TATTCGCCTTCACCTTCCTACGGTTTGGAAAACCAACAGTTATCAGTGAATATGCTACCGTTTTCTTCCTTGTTTTCAGTACTCAGATTTCAGATAGTTTAATTTTTGTTCAACATTCTGTGCTGTTCTTAATGTACGTGGTCTTATCAGTCTATTCGGTGTCGTACTGGTCCCGTTCCGTCAGTTTGACCGTTTCGTCTTTTTTCTATGACGCAGATGATGCAACAACTCGCTCGTCTTCCTGTTCCCTCGATAGCTGCTATTCGAGGGCCAGCTTTCGCTGCTGGTTGCCAGTTAGTGGCCGCATGCGACTTGGCTGTGGCTGGAGAGATGGCCACGTTCTCGACCCCAGGAGTCAAACTGGGTCTGTTCTGCAGCACTCCAGGCGTCCCCCTGGTTCGTGCTATTGGTGTGCGCGCCGCGAAAGAACTTCTATTAACTGGTAAGGGTTCAACATGTGTCCTTATACGAATTGTTCCTTTGCTTCCTACAGGAGATCGGTGGGCTGATTCAGTGAGGTTCGTATTGATTTAAACCATGCACTGGTAGGCACTTGAGTTGACCTGCTCCCCGTTTCTGACCACTTATATTGTCGACTGTTGACTTGGTTTAAAAACAGAACCAGCTCAACTTTCGTCGATGTGCTCTTGCGCAAAGCTATGGAAGGATTTTCATTACAGATTAATAAACCTATGCATATGAGGTGTGCATATCACCTTTCGCAAACAGTCGATGTCTTTGGTGCGCTGTTAAACGTCTACAGATTCATGCACTTAAGTGTCACGCATACTCATTGGGCGCCAACCGACCAAAATCAGTAGGACTACTTGCGAGCAATGGTCGATTGTGGAGTCCAGATCTACCAATAAACCGCGTCAACTAGTTCATCTAGGCAAACTGAACCTTCATTTTTGCTGATCTCGGAAAAATTGAATTGGGGAGTACACTTCACGATACTGCCAACCACCGGCTGGCACTAGTGACAGTGTGAATAGAGCAGCATTGGTATGTAAACTCAAAAAGATTTACGTTGCGGCCCTGGCGAACCTTTAGTCAGCGGCCAATCGGGTTCTATCACACCCACACACACACCTGCCCATCCTACACACGTGTTCACATTCGTTGATTCAGTCATGTGACACATAACACATACGCACGCACACCGTGACAATGCTTACCAGTCATGCGACGCCGACACGCACTAGGACAATGCAACCAGTCATATGACCATACACGTACTTACCGCGCCTGTCACCTCACCACTCTGACCCATTCGCGCATTCATGCTCCCAGCCCATCAATGTGCTTGACCTTGTGACATTAGCCCGTTAGTCTGGGTGATTAGGGTCCCACACAATCGATTGCGCACCGGACTATTACGCACGACCTCTGTGGATTATATTACATTGTCTATTTATGCGGCCGCGGGAAATCTTGATAACCGCATTGATATTAAATACGTATCCCGTACGATAAGGTGCTTACGTTTTGCTCAACTCAACTGGGATTGTGAATAATCAATGGAGTAATTAGACCGAGATAAGATTTACGTTAAAGGAGATCCACGGAGCTAACAGGTATGTGAACCGCTTTCTAAACGTGTAACATCTGTGTTATTGAACGTCGCTCAATAATGAGCACTCTTCACATCGCCGGGTTGCCTTTTGAGTATCGAATAAGTTAATCGAAGGCTCCGGTTCAGGGTCCCTTATAAAATCGCCTCCATTTTTTGACTTATCGAGCATTATTTTACCCACAAAGAAATCAAGGTTTGACTTCACGACTCTGAAGATGCATTTATCATGTTTGCCATATTGTCCGGGTCTAGATGTATACAGTTGCCCCCCCTCCTCCACATCTGGCCTATTCTAGGTCGAACGATTAATGCTCAAAGAGCTTATGAATTAGGCTTGATTCATCGTCTGGTTCCGGATGATCAAGTTTTGGAATCCGCTCTGGCTTTGGCGCGTGAGATCACACAACACAGCAAACCTGTTGTGAGTATGGGCAAACAAACACTGGACAAACAGGTAAGCGTTTATGCGCGCTTTTTCGTTGTGATTGTAATTCATCGTACCCGGAATATAAATAGTTTCGATCCGGTGCAAACATGACGAGTTTTCGATTTATCTGTTATTCCGGATAGCATCTGTGAACTGGTAGACAGACCTGTCCGTTAGGTATCCTCGTCCTATTGAAGTTCCACCATTTACCCAGGTATTATTCTTGACTAAAAAGCTGCTGCATGAATCAGCGGATTTCTATTTCTGCCTTGGTATTGCTCTCAGCTTTCCACTTCTCCTTTTTTTCGTCATCTAAGTGCACAGTCAAAAGACAACCGCAAAAATTTCCTCACAAATGTTCAGGGTTAATGTTTGTACAAACTGTATTATAGTTGTCATTATTGTAATTGTTCAATACATTGTCCACACAAACTTCCCGTAGGTCGATGAATGAAGAGCTCAACACTTTGTCGATGAATGATGTATTTCTAGGCCGAGTTCGTCTGTTTGTTGCTGTAGGTTTCTCTGTTATACCATTGGTTCATATCGTTGCGTTTGTATTTATCCTTCCTCCTCAATCCCCTACTCCGGCACCATCCTGACCACAGGCTGCGTTGGAATCGATCGACGAGGCCTATTCGGTGGCCGCACAAACCATGCTGGACAATTTGGAGCTGGAGGATACAAAACGGGGCATTCAATCATTTATCCGGAAAAGGTCCATGCCCAAATGGACTCATAAGTCCAATTGATGCACGATCAAATTGATCCGTCTATTTAGAGGATAGTCTTTCTGCATTAACCCCCATCGCCTCCTCCTCCTCCCATCAACCGAGTTTCTGTTATCTGTGCCTTATCGATTAATTTCTATTGTCACTTTTCTCCGTTTCTATTGGTATGTGATTTTTTATTCAGATTTGATACTTTTCTTGCATTGGGGAAATAAATATTCTTCTTCAGATTTGCCCGTTTTCCCTAACTTTCACTATTTTTTTATACGCGCCTGTGTCTGGTTCAGGATATGCGGAAGCTGTTTTGTAAGTTTTTAAGTGTTCTCACATTAATGGAGTTGTAGTGGTGGCTCTATAACTGCTCCAGTGGTTGCGACCTTCAGCGCACTCAATATTTGTACGCAAATCCAACACGCGAATTCACGATAATTATGACCCTTTGACATAGGACGCCTCACGTGGCTCACTGAACCGATGATGCTAAACAAACTAACTGTTAATCCACTGTG